CCCCCCCCCCCCCCCCTATACGCATCAGTCCCAACAGTTCAGGACTTTATAATTAGAGTGTGTTTGATTGACATGAAAAATATATCCTAGAAAAGAAAATATTTTCCTTATTTTGAGGAAAACAAAACCTTACTCTCCCAAAAAAAAATATTTTCCTTAAAAACAAGGAAAATTATGCATATTTTTAAAAGTTGAAAAATATTTTCTATGGAAAACAATAGCAATCAAACACTTCAAAGTAGAAATTTGGATAGAAAACTGATATTTTCCATAGAAAATAAATGCAATCAAACACACCATTACTTCATTTTTTTTGCATATCAAGAAAATGCACATGTTGTCCTACGTATACAGGAGAATCTGGTGTTAGAAAGGATTCAGCAACGGCAACAGCAACAGCAACAGTAGCCTTTGGCTTGGACTTGCACCAACAGTTGCCATATAATCCTTTTGATGGATGGTTGATGCTGACCAGCAATTATGTATTTAATCCTTAAAAATGTGTCCATTCAAGGAAGCAATTTCTTTTCATAATATATTTTTGACCTTCTTATAGCAGAAAAGCTCACGTGACGTGAAGATTATATCCATAATTCATAAATATTGACATAACACTAATTGAACCTTTAGAAGTTCACAGTGATTATCTCCACTGCAAATGCATATACAATGAAAATATCCAGTTTTCACATTAGTGGAAATTACAAGAAATGTCCACTTTCACATGGTCGTTTGTAAAAATGTCCAAAATTAGTTCAATGTAAATTTTGCAATATTTTTTACCAAAATACCCTTGTTAACAATTTATAATTCCACACTAAAGACAAAAATATGCATATAATCAAAAATTTTGTTGGTCAATAAAATTTTGATACATAACCTGTCATACTTATTTCAAAAATATACATGTCAAATCACAATAAATGATATATTTTTCATTAAAACAGGTATTAAATATTGAGAACTATATTTCAAATGTCAAAAACTTTATGAAATGTAGAGAACTTTCATGTTTTGAATGAAATTTTGTTCTAGACAAATGAAGTATCAAGATAAATATGGTTCAAATATCGATAATAGCTTTTAAAATGTTGATAACGTCATTTTAATGTAGCTCATCATGGAAGCTACTTCTTCTTTTTGAAATTAGTGACAAATTAAAAAAAAATGCTTCATTTTTCATTAAGGGTATAATAGATCATTTTTTTACAAAATTTGGTCATTTTTATAAGAGTTATCAAAATTAGATATTTTTTAATTGACAAGCATGAAATTAGACATTTTTATAAATTCCCATTTTCATTAAGTGAAGCATACCTTTTGACGGCCATCAAACATCCGTGACCCTTTGTATTCCATCAATCCATCACTATCTTTTACTTGATGATATTGGCAGCAATCATGTTGGCAAGAAAATGCTCATCAATTAATTTATTTGCACATTGTGCATAAACTAAGGGTGTATTTGTCTTTCATTATTGGGAGAAAAATAGAGTGATGAATAGTATTTTTTGGAGACCGTGTGATTGAAAAGTAAAGTAACTTTATTGGTTTGTGTGTAGAATATTTTATTAGGTGAATGTGTGGTGAGGAATCACTGTAGCGAACAATTTTTTGGAATAACGGTAGACAAACAGGGGCTAAATAAATTTTCTATTTAAAGAGTAGCCTAGCCTGAAGATGATTTTTTGGGATTAATTTTTAGTTTTGATATCTTTGAATATTCACAATTAAGGCATTAACTATTCACAATTCAAAAATCAAGTTTTAAGTTTAATTAATGCAAAAATCAAGTATTTATTTATTAATTAAATATAATAAAGTCATAATTATACAATTAATGGTTACAAGTACATAATCATAAGTCACAACTTATTTATTGATCACGTATTATCAAATTAATTGGTCACAAATTAATACGAGGTCACAAATCAAAAAAAATTATAAGTTACATTTTATTTTATTTTATTGGTCACAGATAAAAAATAATAGAACACAATTTATCAATCAGCCACATATTTTCAAATTTGTTGATCACAAATTATCGAATTTTAAGATTACAGTTTATTTTATTGGACACAAATTAAAAAATTATAGGTAACAGTTTATCAATGAGTTACATATTTTCAAATTTGTTGATCACAAATTATTGAATTTTAAAGTCACAGTTCAACAGTTGGTAACATGTCAAATAATGGGTCACATACGACCACCACCTATACTGTAGTCACCGCCACAACAACACCACCACCACCACGACATCACCACCAACAAAATTGCCGCAATGAGATCCAATCAACTGCTAACAAAAACCATGACAATCAACTTTATCATATCTCCAGTCACCAATGACCATCACCCCATCGTCGCCACCAAATCCATCGCCAACCCTGCAACTACCGTCGCCGCCACAACAGCACCACTACCAACAAATTCATTACCACCAGATCCAACAACAAAAAAATCCCAAACCCGCCACCACCTCCATTCCCGTCATCGCTAACAACAAAGACACCACACCACACCACCCACCATAAACCCGCCACCACCTCCAACCCCGTCGCCTCCAACACCAACAAATTTCCTTGATCCTGCCGTAATCAACTCAAATCGAAATTGGTTGGCGCTCTAAGCATCGCGTACAGCGGTGAACAGAGCACCGCTGTGCATGAAGATAGAGACCACCACCGCAGCAATAGATGGAAGAAGATAGAGACCACCACCCTACAGAGGCTTCGATGCTTCCCTCGTATAGATCACCACAAGGCGCGGTGCCACCATCTTTGCAGACCATCAACATTTTGTCATCCTCCACGATAGCAATCAACACAAAACACGCCAGTGTAACTCTGAAGTTGCCACTGCGTAGCAACCCCGAAAGTGGGTCGCCCTGAACGACACCACGCCTCTCATCGACACCACGCCGACGGTGCTCCGATGATGTGCGTGATAAAGAAGAAGAGCAAAAGATTGGGGATTAATCTTGAATTAGGGTTTCGAATTAGGGAGATGATAGAGAGAGTGTGACGAGAGTGAGAGAAGAGTGGAAGATAATTGTTAAAATAAACTATGCCCTGTTTGATAGCATGTATTTTCCATGTTTGATAGTGTTTGATGTCAAGAGTTTTCCATGGAAAAGATACAAAAAAATTTCCCTTCACGGGCCAAGTTCTAGGCGTGAAGGGAAAGTATTTTCCCACCTTTTAGGTGGGAAAATCAAATTATGGGTTCTGTTAATTTTTTTTTCTTTTTTTTTTTT